TCGAGCTCGGTAAACTGTTCCAAATGCTCCACGACCAATTTCCTCATTCAATTGTAGATCCTGATCCGATATTTGTAATAAGTCTTGTGGCTGTTCTACAGTACAAAAATATAAACTATGATCTGTCAATGTCAATAGGTGAGGTGATCCTGAATAAGAATGCTGTCTTTATTAGATAGTATTATGTGAGAACGTAGTAGTTCCAGCATGGTTCACAATTTGAATAGTCTTATTAAGAAATCGTAGAAAATTTCAACTCTTCTCTTTAATTGTCTGTTCAATTCTAGAAAAAAACCTTTTGTGACAATGGGTCATTCTAAGGACAGTGTTTACAACTCTGACAGAGTCGACCAATTTACTTTAACACCGTAGGATGCTCGATGTGCAGTCAGAAGGTTCACATACATTCATATTTAGTGTATAGTGTTGAGGAAGTCCATTAGTGTCCACTTATAGATATGGGTGTGAGGTGTGGATGAAGACTAGTCGCACACCCATACTCACTGAATATGGGTGTGCGACTAGTCTTCATCCACATTCCACACCTACACATCCTCAAGTATGAACAAAGATTTCTTTCAAATTGATTAGTTTCATCTATAATTATTAGATGTAATTATTTAACAAAGCTGAAAGACATCTCAATTCCTAGAAGTATGCTATTGGTGACAAAAAGATAAAGTAAGTTGAAACGTACGTTTTTTTCACTAGACTTCCTAGTTTAAAGTTTATTAATATTTCAATATTTTCATAGTTATATGACGCTTGTATTTGGCAAAATCTTGACAGCAGAGTAGAATCTGTTTTAATATTTTGTAATGACATCATGAATTGAAAACTACTAGCTATTGGACTTTTGTGAGTGTCGGTTAGAAAGAGTTCAGAATAATGAGCTCAAAATTTTGAGGTGAAAAATCGTTAGTTTAGACCAAAACTAACATCTAATACCTGGCTAATATTTTTTTTGAGCATAATTTTATTCAGCATGATCCAAGACTATCATCCTACGATGAGAAAGTGTTAACTCACTATTCAGAGCTGAGATTTTAACAAAGGCTGAAAATTTATTAGTCGGAGATTGCCAGGCTCTTATCTTTTCATCACTAAAACTGTGGAAATTGTTAAAAATGAGTGAAATAGAATAGCTTTAGTGTCCGAAAAGAAAATCAATGAAAACGATTGGCTTTAAAATTTCAATCATGCCGGACCCGTAACTGGCCAGTTTGGTTTCAAGTATGATCCAGCTATTATACAGAATATTGTGTTTCGCCAAGTTTTGTGTTTTTCTCGAAATTAGCTTTTCAACGAAGAAAAGAATCGTCAGAACCAAAATCAATAAAAATGTCAACTCATTTAGAGCTTGATTCATTTGGTAGTATTCTTAGGGTGCATCAGATTTCCAAATGGTTGTTCTAAATTCAACATCTTCGCGAGTCAACTAACGCTATTGCTCGAACGTATACCATAGTTAGATTCTAATATCTGCTTCATCTAATAAAAATTCCAGTTCGAACAAATGTGACTTAAAGATACGATATGGTTCGTTCAGAGGACTATGCGCACATGTCCTTTTGTGGTTAGACTATGTCAGTGAACCTCTATATATCTCCAACATATGAGCTCCAAAATGATGAAACATCTGAAGAGTTTCCCTCGTAACTAAGAAATAGCCACGCCAGGCTATGGAAATCGCAAGCATTATAAAGATTGGGACTAAGGAAGAACCCAAGTTCTCTGTTTATTTCAGTAATGTTATTTATAATATTTGTCTCATGTTACGTCGAAAACCAATTCAAATGTTGATAATGTCTCATGTGTTATTTTCTAAATAGTTAGAAACAAAGATGATTCGAAGGTAAAATTGTTATGGGAATCTTTTGATTCACTTAAACAAGAACAGTAGAATTTACTAGTATATTTACCTGGTTCACGTGGTTGATCTCGCCGTTGACCATATAAATATATATTCTTCTTTGATAATGATCCACTCACAAACGGAATTTGTTTTAATTTCGACTCTTGTATTACTCCATCTGTTACATCACTTAATATCATTCGAATATCTTCATTCGCAGTTGTAATATGTTTCAAAAGATGCTTGGTGAATAAGCCATTTCTCTGTCCTTTTCCTTCAATGGCTATAGTTCCAGGTGCGCAAGCAAATGCAATCAATGAACCAGCCTTGCTCATAGCTTTGAGGCCTACCGATTTCGAATTACTTGCATCTGGACCACGTGTGTCTACCTCAGGATTACGTAAATGATACTTTCTACAACAATTCAATAGAAATATTGTTACATATGGATTGTGATCACTTAAAGTGTCAAGAATATGTTGTGCATTGATTGCACTCTTGTTTAAAGCTGCACCATCCAAAGTTGGAATGTCTTTTGGTATCAAATAATTTTGATCCTAAAAGTATCGCAAATAAAACATTCATAGAAAATTGGGATCACTTTCAAGGATGAAACCTTAATACATACTTCCCATTGTACCCCATGCCCAGCAAAATAAAAGAGGACCATATCGCCTTGTTCTATTGAGTTTTCGAAATCAATAATAACATGTTGCATCTCAGCTCGTTTTAAATGTAGTCTCTTTGTAACATTGAAATCAATAATCTCCAGAGCAGATGACATGTCATTCGCATCATTTTCGGGATTTTGTAATTCTTCACAATGGTCATATTTACCAATCCCAATTACAAGTGCCAACTTACGTCGTGGTTTCTTTTTAGTCGCCATTAATACAAGGCAAGCTCAATCTGAAAAGAATGCATCTGCTATCATGTAATACATCAAAATACGAAACCAGACATTGACAGGACGACATACGCTGCAACCGGCTCTTCAAAAAAGCGCTCCATGTATAGCACGGTGGGGTTTCTGCATCAGTCATGATTGATATCGAGATGAGGTTCAACTATGAGGCAATCTATCCAGATACTCTATCAAGTGTTTCAACCTAAACTTCGTTAGGTGCAACTAGTTTTGCTAAATTTCAACTTCTAGAATAATGTGAAGCTAAAAGAAAACTTTTTACTCCAATATTTCTGGGTTCTATGAGTATCAGCAAAATGTAATAGAAATATATTTTCGAGAGGTCATGTAATCAGTGTGAAAATTTCATCGTCGAGATATTTGTGGAAAGACAAAAGAATAGCCGACCTAGCAGCTATCCAGCGGTACAGGATACTGCTTAGAGGCAGTTTTATTATTTTGATATAATAACGACAACTAGTACCAGCTGTAGCTTAGAACAGGAGGCCAGCATCCCTCAGAGTTCTTTCGTTCAATTACTTGAGCTTCCCCGTACACACTAACGAACAATATGCAAGCCCCGAGAGTTGGTATATGTCAAATCGTAGCCAACACATTAATGGAGGTGTGATTTGAGGTTAACAACCGTTAATATCTTTGAGCAACTTATTAACGGTCGATAACGACGAAATCTGAACACACTACTTTCCGGTGTGTTCTGTACAGCTTGATGGTTCAGTTATTTTACAAAAACAGTTTTTTGCACTTTAGACCATCACAATTGGTAAACAAGATGATAGGAAATTTATGCGACAAGTTGCAGCTACCAATAAGAGTTGAAGAGTAGCAGAATCAATACTGGACCACGAGGCAGAGCAGCATAGTCTGTCACAACTGTAAGATCTATAATTGAACCAAAATACAATTCTTGTCTAATGAGGTTTTCTTTTAGGTTACTCATATCGTAGAATTGAGAATATTTGCATTTTCTTCAATCTTCGATTCTCTTCCTTTGAGAGTAAGGTGAAACTCTGAGGGATCGAAGAACCCAGAAATTGATTGGCCATTCACTCACGATCACAGTTCATTCATGCACTTGGACGAAAGGCTCTACTATCCTGAAAAATTTCTTTGTACTAGCAAGGTATATGCATTGAACTTCATGCGTAATGTTAAAATCTCATGTTCATTTTTAGATATTCTATTCGGTTACAGTTGTCACGTTAGTACTTCGAGAGAGTTGGAACTAGAGCTCCGTGGGACATGTGCTGCGCCATTCCACACTATAGTGCAGAGCGCATTCGTATGCGACGTCGTCTAAATTTGCACTCACCACATGCTATTCTATTTCATCGTTTAACGCGTCCTGGAACAACACTAAGGAAATGAGTGAATGCTTGCAAAACGTTTTCACTTAGTGAAAACGGAAAGAACCGCACGTTGCGCGTAAGTATGAGTATTAACACAAGACTGTCCTGCGAAGATGTACCTGGAGCCGATGATCAGCTCCTTACAACAGTTCGTAATAGTTCATAAACCTAAACTCTTTTATTCGAAACTTCGTTGCTTTAAGTGTGTGAATGAAGGAAAGACTCTCACACTCACTGCATCTATATTTACGCTCTAATGTTAGTTGTTTCCCAATGGCAACATTTGTGCAGTACTCAGACGCTTGGTACGAAAGTCACTTTCAAGAATTCGGTGACAAAAACCTATTTCGCTTACTCCTACTAATCTTCGAGTTGTTTCGCAGGTTTTACAATCATATCCAGACACTGCGCAGTTCTGAGAAGCTTTGCGCTTCGTCTTTGTGATGTATTGTTTTGGATAATACATCTGTCGTAAGTCTAAATAATCGCCATCTGTAGTTGTAGTTTTCACCATGGTTGATACACGTCGCCCAATAGTGCGATATGGAATATTCTGTGATTAGGTTTTTGTCTAAGGTATTCTCATGTGACTTGATACCTTTTCTCATGCTATCGAACACTGGTAAATGCTCCGAAGGTTTTCTAATTAGCTATTACGAAATTTAAATGGTAAGGCTTTTGGCGCTTACTCAGATGGGTGGTTCTGCTGTCTGACTGTTGTTCTTATCAGTTACTAGCTTTG